CTGCCCTAGAGCTCGTGTACAACGCCATTAGCCATTCTTCCACTGATCGAGGTCATGATTGGGGAGAACCCCCTGACCGCAGCGGACCTCGATGTCGTTGGTGCCCTCTCCCCTACCCTTACTCCGCCAATGACCAAGCTCTTCCGCCAGCTCTGCAACCGGGCGCAGAGTCACATCCTGAAGGCACAAGGCCTACAGAAGCACTACGCAGACACCCACCGCCGCGCAGTGGAGTATGCGGTGGGCGACAAAGTCTGGCTGAGTAGCAAGCACCTTCCCGCCCTAAGCACATGCCCTAAGCTTGAACCCCGTTTCCGTGGACCCTTCATTATTACTGAACGCATTGGGAGTGTTGCTTGCCGCCTGGCGCTACCCCCTACGTACGAATGCCATGATGTCTTCCACGTTTCCCAGTTAGTTCCTGACTGCCCCCGCGCCCCTGAGCTGGAACCTCAGGAGGCCGTTGTGGGGTGGCCTCCTACACGAGACGTCGCAGGGAACCCCACGGATCGGTATGAAGTCGATTACATCATGGACCAGCGTCGGTCCGGCGGCGAGTTCCAATACATTGTCAAGTGGCGGGGCTACCCGGAGGACCAAACCACCTGGGAACCTGCTAGCCATTTGGACGGTTGCCCTGCACTGCTGCGCGCCTGGCGCCGCCGTCACCGGAACCGCCTTCCGCCCTGATCCGCCGCCCTCTTTTCCTTCGGGCGCCCCCCACCTTCCCTTTTCGCCAGCTGTCGCCCGCTTTCCGCCCTGTGGAGGGGGGGGGAAGGGGTTGCAGAAGCACCCCATGTGGCGGTGGCAGGATATCTACACAGTCAATGGCCTAGATTAGAGGCACACGGACGCGCATGTAGCGGTAAGCCATCACAACAAGCACCAGCACACTGTACCACCTGCAGAAAGATCAATATCTACACCGCGTTAGTGTTACTATTCTTAGAGTCCCTAGCGGCGGCAATACTCAGGAGAGGTACCTTTACTCTGAGACCTAGAGTGGCAAAATTAAACGGGTAGTAAATAGCAAGAGAAAAATAGGAATAATTGCGTCGTTAAAATTAGCCAGAAGGGATAGGGTGAATGTACTAGGAATGGCGTTAGAATAGCTGACATAGGAACAGAGGTAGGAGCAACAACTGAAATGCTATGGCGCACTACCTCAGCAGCGACGAGACCGCACAAAAATATAATAGGACTAGGTAGAGGTCTAATTAGCTAGGCCTGCAAGGTCCTAGGGCTTCCCATATAGTTGTTATCTACTGAACGAATAGTAAGAAAGGTGTTAGAATTAGCAGCCACATTTGTACAGGCAAACCTAAAATATGTACTCATCACCCTGTTCACGGTACACGCTAATTCGACCTAGGAAGAGGCGAGAGCATCACTACACGCTGCTAACAGAACCCTAAGCGAGCAAATAGGCGACCAAAATATTGAGTAAAAATATAATCGCTAGTTTACCGGAGGTACAAAATCAGTCTGGAGACGTAGAAACACAAAAGCACGCCGTAGGGCCGCCGCCGATAACATAATAACCGCACGCACGGGAGGTGTAACTGAAATTTCAGCTAGCTGACGTCCGGAGCACACTCAGACAGAATTAGCGACCACACTGGGACTATAGCGATAGCAGCAGAATAATGTACTTGCGGAAAGAGAAGCAGAAACGTAGTTGTAGGGGTGAAGAGGGTGGAAGCCCGAGTAGCAGACGCACGCGTCACAGCACAACAGCGCAGCAATATCCCGATAGAGGAACACTACACGTGGCCAAGAGAATAGAACAGAGCAAACCAGCAAGCACAACTGCCTTGCACTCCAGAAGAGCAAGGCGGACCTGAATTAGCCGCACACAGGTGATCACAACAATCCTGCGAAGCAACGCAAGGCAGAACAGTAGAAAACACACTCCTTGGAGACCACCCGAGGCCGTCGGGACACTGAGTAGAGGTTAGAGTAGAGGAATAGAAGCAAGAGATGTAGGAGCAGCCACTTCCGTTGAGTTCCGTTGAGGCTAATAAATAGGGTTGAAAAGTCTAGACCCCCCCTTGATGGACTGCCGAATAGTTGACTACACTGATAGCCCCACTGCCCCTGACTTATGGAGCAATCCAATAATGATGCAAAGGGGAAAGGAAGAAAATATAAGGGTTAGAGAATAGAAAGAATAAACGGAACCGTGAGGCGGTTTCTGCTCAAGAAAGGGGGAAGTTGTAGTGCACAGGCCTACAATGGAGCTTCGGTGTGGCCTCTAGAGGCCCAATATCATGAAAAGGAATGAATACTGTAGAATATTTCAGAGATTATGACACTTTTACATAGAAAAGCAGCTTCATAGGATCAGAGTGCTCTCCAGCCGGCACCAGCTTGGGGCTGGGTGCGAGGCTGTTGCTGTGACCCTGGCCCACGCCCTCGGCGAGGGTCGGGAATCAGTTCTATTATTTTAGGTTTTCCCTTAATAATGGGGACTCGAACATGTTTCGGAAGTTAATATTTGATTAAATGGAACGTTTGTGGACTGTGCGTAAATAATAGATACCGGATGCGGCGCGTGCACCTAGTTAGACTTAGGATACATACCGTAGTCACAGTGAAGCTTAGCTGTTCACTACACTTAAGGGGGTCAGACACAAGCCAGTTCTCTTTGCACTTCAACACGCATTTGAGCGGGACTTGGCTTTAAGGCTTTCTATTTGATTATCCAGTCTGCTTCAGAGGTAAATCGCTGACCTCGGCTGTAGATATTGAGTGTGCACCTAGGCAGGTGTGTATAGGGTAGCACGTAGTAAGACGTGGGTAAGAGCTGTTCACTATGCATACGATTGCGCAAGTGTTTTTGAAGGAGCAGTTGGCGTGGGTAGTTGCATCATGCTCTCTGTGAAGCTTATAATCATTGTCTACGGGCGATATTGCATGGGTATTGTGTACGCTTGCATGTGGCATTTCGTTGCGGCAGCAGCTGCACGAGGTGTGCTGCAATCCATAACACGCGGCCACTCTTCCATATCATCCCCCAGATCGTCGGGCTGCTTTTCTCAACAAGCTTGCAGGCTGGAGAAGAGGCTGGCGGTCTTTCGACAACTTAGTCGGAAGTATTTCATTCTATTGCACCGAGACCGAGGACTCTCCTTATAGTTAGCACCAGTTGCAGCAGAAGAAGCTGCAACAACTGCAGGTGTCTTTGTTTTTGATGCTGCCCAGATGAGGGCAGTCAAGCTGGGCAAGTACAAGTGGCGTGCCTAAAACGGTCTGAGAAGGACTCAGGATGGCGGAGGCGGCGATGAGCGGCCTCAGGGTGTTGCATGCAGTGCACAGGCGTTAGAATAGTAGACAAATTTGCCCTATAGAGATCTATCCGGCAGAGCCAGCTCAAATAATGCGTTATTAGAAATAAATCAAGCCGCAATAGACAGGAGATAAGGCTATCCCAAGACTACTCTGCAGCTGCCCAGATACTAGGGCTCGCTGTGGGATTGGCATTGCAGCGAACAGCTCTCGCACGGCCGTTACTACGTGATTGCATACCTACCTGGTGCGCACGATGTGTATCTCTACTCTCGGCGAATATTCCCTAGGATAACCTAAAATAACAAGCTACAGGCTTTAGAATACTCTCGTCCCATAATCTCAAAAAGGAGGAGCAGGAATAATAATTGTAATAGTCGAATTTTCTCGTGACACCTTAGCGGGTCGGCGCCTGAGCGGCAGCGCCACTCTCGCAGGACCTGGGGTCCTCGTCAAGCAGCCTAAGCCTCAAAGCTTCTTTTTCTACCTAATGTTACTTGGTTCATTTCTATTAAGACTTCACCTCTACCCTGTCTGCTCGATAGGCCGCTAGATGACCGACTTGAGCACCATTGTAGAGCCGGTGCACTGCAGGCGCTATAGCCGAAGAAGATGAACTGCAAGGGGTCAGCATGAGGACTATTATCATTACTCTCCCTCCTTGGGAGTTTTGAACCCGGGATACGGATGAAAAGCCTTCTTTTTAATATTGTAACGCTATTATTTTTAGCGCTGCGTCCAGCTGCGAACGCTGGACGCAGCGCTACCTAGACACGTATACAAAGGGACGAGTAGTGGCAGCTGCAAACGCCGTTCATTACATGCATGATCCATAGTTCTTTGGGCCCATGGTCGAAAAACAGCTGTTCTCTTATTCGAGGATGTCCAGAAAGTTGAAGTAAAGCACGTCTGCATACCCGAAAGTGAAACATACTCACTACGCGGCAGACTGATCAACGGCTTCGTATGTGAACTTGGTAAATCCATGCACTGCGCTAAATACAGCGCCTTATCGGCAATAAACACTTTGCCTCACTCCTCCAGGCATGTGCAATTGTAGCTGCCTAACCCAAAGCAAAGACAAAAATTTACATGGTACGACGGCACGCCACTCAACCGTTTATTGCCAGCTCCAACAACTGCTACAAATGCTACGGGGACGGATCAAACCACCCTGCTGCTTCAGGCGTCGCCCCAGAGTGCGCAACGCTGTCGCGATAAGCTTAATCACTGTGAACAAGCCAGTCACATATATCTAAACATCCTCTGCAGCAGCAGTAAATCCACCCACGATCATATAACGCGTTATAGAAGAGGGCAAAACGCAAGGCTTATTCGGTGTAGCCTTTGGCACGCTTGCTGCAGTTCGATCCACGTCAGAAGCCTTAGACGCCAACCA